TGTAAAAATAACAGTGTGTGCATTTAAAATACAAGAATGTTCAATGTCTGAGAAGGGGTGCTAAAATTAAGATGAAAGACTTGTTTATTAAGCTTTTCTTTTATGCTTTTATCAACATCAATAAATGTCTCAAACAAGTTCAGGTATTGTTCACATATTAATTCAAAGTATAGGCCCCCCCACGCTCAATACCTGTTAGTATGGGATGGAAAACCCGGGCACGCCAATGGGGGTCAATTAATACCACAAATAAACCCAGCCAACTAATCCACCCCTAAATTACCTCAATTTGCTAAACCACATTTTTGGCATCTAGGATTAAACTCAATTAGGGGTTAGATTTAATTAGGGATTACCTCCATTATGCCGCCCACGCAGTACCCCACAATTAGTCATAAATAAATCATGGGTGATCACAAATGGGCGGGTCGATAACAGGAGGCTCCACCAATACCCACCAAAAAACGGGCCACCCGAGACCAAACGCAGGCTGCAGATGAGGGTGGACCATGTCATTCACTGATTATCCCTAACCCCACTGTGTCATGAAAGTAGAAAAACAATAACAAAAAACAATGAAAAAGCAACCAAAAACTACGTCACATCACAACAGGCACACAAACACAAATGGAAAAACCAGCCATCACACCAAGTGTCAAGACCTGAACCCCGTGCCCAGTCCATGTTGAACTAAGGCCGCCAGACTGCTCCCAAATGTTGCCAGCTGCTGCCGAGGGATTCGAACGTACACTAGGAAGGCATAACTTGATTATCGGCCAAGGGTTTAGATTGTCCAGTCCTGCAAGCCAGCCATAGCAGCAGTGGTGGCTGCCCCAATGCAGAAGCTGTGCCTGGAAAACAGGTGGGCTTCTAGCCCAACCTCAATCAATAGATCCCGAAGTGCCAAAACAAAGGCACCTTTTAAGAGTGTAGAGCCATGCTCTGTTAAAAAAGAAGGGGCCCAAGGCCGAGCCCCTTACCACCATATAGGCCAACAGTGCAGCAACTGGGCATACAGGGGAGTCGAATACTGAGAAAAACATCAACGCCCCTACCAAACTGATCACACTTCGAGACACGGAGGGTGAACCCGGAAAACAGAGGGATGCTCAATACAGTCCATGCATACATCCCTCCACGCTAGATGGATTGCCGAGTTAAAACCACAGGCACTGGACACTAGTATCTCACCCATGTGGAAGCGAAAAACGCCATACTGCAGACTGCCTACATCATAATGGTATGTGAGACCAACCTGACGCCGGTTCAGGGCCAAAAGAACTGCCCCAAAACCTCCCAGTGATCAGAAGTCTTGGGCAGGATGCCTGTTGCTGAAGTGCCCTCATTCTAGCCCGACCCCTCAGGACCAGCAGGAATCTTGGTAATGTAGACACCTCCCGCAGCTCCGGATAGCCCAACAGATCTTGAGAAAGACGAACCGCCGCTAGGCATCCCTTGATCGACGTAGGAGCCATGCCCTCCTGGACCAAAAAGCCACATAATAGCAGAGGAGAGGCTTCAAGACTGGAAACAGGTGGGGACTCCATAACTCTGGCAATAACCATGATATTGCCCCAGCGCTGAGCTGCACGTCCTCTGGTTAGACAAGCAATGCCTAGGGAACAATAGTTCTGAAGCGCCAAGTCCAACCCTCCAAGGCACTGTCCACAGTCAGGTCCACCAGCAGATCCACAACAAGCAATGGGAGAGGGGAGGCCAGGGGCATCATCAGAGGGTCCTGAGAGAAAAAGGAATGCAATCTGTTATGAGACAGGTCATCAGCTAAATAGTTATCCCTACCCCTTTTGTGCCTTACTCAAAGCTGCATGTGAGCTTCAATCAAGCATAAGCACCTAACTAAATGGAGCAAGTGAGCCTCCAGAGCATTCCTGCTATTAACAACAGCCACTGCTGCTTCATTATTCGAATAGCAACACAAGCGGGCACCCGTATGGGCAGAGCCTCATGTGACCACTGCCTGTACAACAGGGATCAACGCCTTCACTGCAATAGACAGGTCAGACATACACTCTGGCAAGTGTAGCTGAAACCACCTAGCACCACAATATGCACCACACCCCCATGAGCTAGACGCATCCGAAACCACCACTATATCTGGCCTCTGCAAGGGAATAAACCTCACTACATTCAATGAGACAAGAGGAACTGCCACCAGCAAAGATCAGGAAAAAATGTTCTGTTCAACCGTATGTGGTGATTGTACTGCCATCCTCCCTGCAACAAATTGATGATATGAAGCAGAAATGCTCTGCCCGGAGGGATCACCTTAGCGATGTCCAGCAGCTTCCCGATGAGCAACTCCCAAGTCCAGGTGCCAGCACCACCTATTCTCAAACCAGCCAAGCAACATCTCCTGCAACCTGTCTACTTTCTCCTGGTGGAGCCGCAGCAGCCACTTGGATGAATCAATCTCGAACTCCAAGAAATGCAAGCTAATGGTAGGGCCCTCACACTTGTCTTCCGCTAATGGGACCCTCAAGTCGTTAGCAACCGACATTACAATCTCCAGGCTCAGGGCACATTCTGTTGTACCACATGCCACTAGCACAATATAATCGTCTAAATAGTGGTCCACATACCACACCCCTGCTTGCCAAAAACACCACTCAATGACATCAGCCACGGCAGTAAGAATCTTGGGGGCTGAGCACAAGCCAAATCGCAAGGCGGAGTCCACAAATACCTGCCCTTCCCATTTCCAGCCCAGAAGAGGCCTGTCAGCTAGATGTACTAGGATCATTCGATACACCGATTTGATATGAATCTTGGGCATTAACGTGCCGACACCCAAATCAGCTTTTACCTCCGCTACCCTGTTGACGGATGTATACTTCAACGAGCAGAGAGCAAAATCTACCCAGCCATTGACGCTCAAACCCTCTGGGAAAGATAGGTCCGTAATCATACTCCATTGCTCAGAGATATGCCCATTAGGGACCACACCCACTATATTCATATGCAAAGGATGACAGTCCAGTATTGAAGCCGGTAGGGGCCCCTGCATCCTGCCCGCAGCCAACTCTCACTGAAGGTACTCCCCTACCACCTCCGACTGCTAATATGCCAAGGAGAGGTTCGTTGAAGCTGCGGTAAGGATGCATTGCCGTCTATAGCCAATTCTGAACCCGTCCTGGAGCCCACACAGGATATAGTGGGCAAGCTGCTGATCAGGAAGAGCCTGAAGCCTTGCACAGCATGCCCCAATGCGCGCCACCAAAGGTGACTGGATTCCCACTAGTACTGTCACTGTAATGCTAGCGTACCCCTGACAATCCAACTCAAGTAACTGAAGCATATACTGATACACTCCTAAGTGATAATAAATTTTCATGAGCGAAAGCAAAACAGTAATATTTGAGCAAAATGATAGAGGTAAATGACAACACTATGTTTAATGAGCAGTGCAGTTAAGGAGTTAGGATGTAGCACACTGGGCCATTAGGGGGCAGGAGCTTGTTGCTGGCATTTCTGGATCTGTGCACACTGGGAAGCTGGGTGCGAATCACACCTGCAATTGGAGTAAATATGGGCAAAGAGGCACTCCGTATAATGGCACAAAATGCCCTTGATGCTATTGAAAAGCCCACACAATGGGATACACCCTGTGGGAGCAGGTATTTAGTGCTTCTGTCTCGGTTGCCACTCCTCAGGTGCCAAGGGGCACGAACGGGCATTGTGGGTATTGGCTAAGCAGTGAGTACATATCAAACGAATCCTAGCTCAACCGGTGAAGGCCTCGTTATACACGGTGGTGTCAATAATTCCCCAATTGAACGACCCTTGGGCGGCAGCCTGTCACCTCATGACCGCATCGTATGAGACCCAGGCAGTGCCTTCAAAGTTACAACTGGCTGGTACGATGGTCCTTAGGTACTGGAACATGTGCAGGGCCTTTTCCAGGTAACGAGAGATTTTAACACTAGCCATCAAAGAGAAGCACTCTACCAGACTGTAATCTCTGTTACTAGTGAGCGGCGGGAGCGAGGGATTGGAAGTTGTGCAGCTGTATCTTCATAGCGCAAGGCGTCTAGAAGTAGCTCAATTATATCCACAAAATGGCCCTTGAGAATCTTCTCTGCCATCTTAGGGGACACTACCCCTCCTCAGTTAGTTGACGAATGGGCTGTTGGGAGCTGCTGCTGCGCCGTGAATATTGGGGCATGACCCAACCCCGCCGGATCTGGTAGCTGACCCAAGGTACCTGGCAAAGCAAAATTATAAGGTAATGTAAGCCCAGCAGCACAATCAAATAAGCCCATGGCATGAGCCAGCAAGCAAGGTATGAAGAGCGGCCAAGCCACAAGCAATAGGACAAGCAGCATACAACAAGCAAAATGGCAACGGACAACCGTATCCAGTGGCAGCAATTAAGCAACAGAGCAGAGAGTGACAGAGCAGAAAGCAAAACGGACAGAGCAACTGAGCAAGGGGCAGGAAAAAAAAGAGCAGATAGCAGCAGAGAAGCAGTGGAGCTAGCACCAAAGAGAGAGACAGAAAACTGACCTTTAAACAAGAAGGTGCACTATAAAACCATTCACGCAACGTCATGAAATCGCTTCCGTCGATCACAGTATAAAAGGAGGTGCCCTGGGCACAATATGGCGGCCAGATTGAATAAAATTTAAAAATAACAAAATGGCTCCCGCACTGGCACTGTTCTTATCATGGCTAAATCACTAGCAAAACGCATTATAAAAACATTAAAATTAGCAAAGGTGAGAGAGTTAACCTACAAGCACACCTAGAAAGCATAGCAAGGAGAGAAATGGTATAATTGACTTGAAGTAATAATTTTACATTATTGTCAAATATTATATTGTATATTCTGAAAAATCTGCCAACAGCCTAAGAAACACGGTCAATGATGCTGTCGGGCAGGTAATAAGTGATAGTGGCAAGGGAATAGCCCTCACTACTACACAGAAAACCAGCCCAAGAACCGCCACCACTGGGACCAGACAGCCCTGCTGACTATACCATAAAACAGCCACCATCATCAAGTATAAGTGGTTCCAGCAAAGACCCCAACATGGTCCTCATTCAGATCCTAGTACTGGTAGCAGTTGTAACATTCAACGATCTACTGGAAGAAGTAAATACAAAAATATTATTCTAAATTTTAAAAAATATAAACATTATAGGGTTGAATAGATATTGGGATGGTGAGGAGCCTCCTGTATCTGTGTACCTCTTCCCAACTGTGCTCAGTGATGCCGACAAAAATATGGCAGTACTGTGATGGTAATATACCAGCACAAGAAAAATGCTAGTACGAGCCTAAAAATATTAATGCCACCATATGATTACTTTACATTACAAATAATACTTCTGTATCTAGTACCTAATAAACTTGAGTTACGATTACAGGACTCACAACTGGCATTGAATCGAAATTCAGCACAAATCACATGACGATCTAAAATTATGAATAGTTTTGATGATGTTGATAATAATAGTAATAATAATAATAACACTAACAAAGAATACCTGTCTGTAACTGATCATCCTTCGGTCAACCATACCACACTAACACTAATGTATGTTTCCCAATAGCCGATTCTATATCTATGCACAAAATGGCTGCTCTTCGTCCCCATCACTCATACCTTATTTATATATAATCACTAATTTAAACACATTATAACTACCTGAAGTATTGAGCATAGCAGAAGAACTACTAGTATCATGTGATAGAGCCTCAGAATGATTCTCTTTTTCTACTAAATCGGCGAGTAAATGAGACAGCAGTTCCAGCGCCTTCTTTTAGTGCCTAAAGACCCCTTAACTCGATCAAGCCTAACTAGAACTGGTCCTTGTCTTCTCTGAGAGTAAAATGGAAGTCCATTTGGTACCAAAACCCCATTCTTCCTGCGTTTTTCCTTGAAGAAGCAACATCATCTAGAACCGACATTTTTACACGTGAATAAAACGGAAGCCACCATGCCCAGGGCCCCGCCTTTTATACCGCACCTTCTCGTTTAAGTAATCCTGTACGGTGGACTCCTGTGATTGGGCAACCTCTGCCACTCTCTAAGTTTGGATCACCTGAAGCACTACTTCTCTTCCCTCAACCAGTACCTCTCACAGGGGAGCGTGACATGTCTTGACCTGGGGCGACCTTGCAAGGATCTCCTCAAGGAATAGCTGCCCCCAGGCGTTGCCACTCTGCCAAGAACCTCAGATGATCTTCAGAAAACGGACTTGCCATCACAGAACAGTACAAGACCTCTAATCTGACGGAAGACAACACTATACCACAGAGCAAAAAGAAGACTACCTTGCTTTGCCAGGCGCTTCAAACTGTGCCACTCCTACCCGGGCCCTTCCCCTTCATTAGCTATTTTTAAATAAATCTAAATTTAATTTCACACAGTACTGTTACTGTTGTATCGAAGCATTAATGATGCTTCCAGATGATCTTAAAGTGCTGCATCCTGATGACTTCCAAATGATGAGTTCAACAATGAAAACACTCTCTCAGCTGCAGCAGAAGATGGCTGCACAAGCTGCACTTTCTTCACAGCAGATCACCAATGTGGCAGGATATCAGATTAATTTTGCAACCTTTGAAGGACAACAGGTATCTGATGAAACATCAGCTGCCTTGCCTAGATACTCTGGCAGCTCAGATTTACGGTTTGAGGGTATAGTCAAATTAGAGAAAGGAAATGAAACCAAAAAAGCAAAGGTGCTGGCATTAGGCTTCATTCTATTTTCTTCCTGTGTTATGAAAAGTCTGGCTGCTTTGAAAGCGTAAGCACTGTTCTTCAGGTCCTGACTGAACTTACCTTGTAAGTAATCCAGCCCTATTCGCACACATGAACATCCATATTCTTGCAATTGTTTGGCAAATTCCAGATTATGAGCAGATAAAACAGGACCAACCATTAAGGTTGGGATAATGAGCTGCAGTTATTCTAATTGCCAGTCTAGCCAGGACATCATAACGTTCAATTATTCATGGATCATCACCCTTTAATTGGAATCAGTAGGTAGGTATTGGCTTACATAACACATGTATCAAATATAAAAGAATTCACCACAAAAATTATTTTATCACATTTTGGCCTTATCTCATTTCATTAAATTGGAAGGTCAACTTTCTTAGACCATGTCACATATTATAATTTGCTGCGAAAGTGGGCCAAAACAATGGACTATGTACACGTAGTACATATGGCTTTGCCTTTTCATCAAAAATTCTCTGAGAAGAATTTTTCATTATTATTATATTTTTTGATGTAACAAAAATCCATAGGCGGTGCTACATGTACATGCTCTCTTTTGTAAAAAGTTTAAGTACTAAAATTTCATAGTTGCAATATTACAGGATGTATTTTTAAGCATCCCAAGTAAAACATGTTACTAATACAGTATCATGCACTTACCATATAACATAATGACTCCCACCCCCCCTCCCTGTGTAGTACTGTTTGCTTTGATATTTTTACTCATTAATATTTTATTATTTTTAATTATTTATTTATTATTATAATATATTTTGGCTCATTATCGTAATTAAAATTCAGGTGTGGTAATAGAATCAACAAGCATTGCTTCATTTTAATATTAGGCTGACAGGCTGAGGCTAACTTGTAATAATGATGACGACAATGTTGTTGATCCATCGGACAAGACAACTTGATATTATGTCATATGAGGTGATTGCTACTGTCAGTGCTGATTTGTAAGTGGTGTACTGTACTCTTACTGATACACTATAACTAGCAGGGGCATACTAGTGATGGGCAATTCCGAGTTTGGAGTATTTGATCCTTCGATTCCTATCAGAATCATGCTTGTATCAACATTAAGAGAAGTAGGAATGGTTTGAATGATTCCAAATGAAACTACACCCAACCACATCCGTTATTATTAATTATAGTTAATTAATCAGCAGTTAATGTATCAATTATTGCTGTAATTGATAACACGTGGCTTTGCGGATGCGCAGATATAATACTAGGAATTGGTATTCATTTCCAATTGATTCCAGTCTCAAAAGTATTTGGAATGGGAATCGAATGCAAATATCTGGTATTGCCCATCTCTAGGGCATAGCAATGTGGGCAGATGCCCCCTTCTTAAAAATCAAAGTTCAAAATTAACAAAATAATAAGCTACTTTTGCAAAGAAAAACTGTTCTACAACTTGCATAGAAAAGGAAAAGGCTAAATCCGTCTTTCTATTATGCCATTACAGAGCTTGAAAGGTATTCGATATTGCCTATGATCGTTCAATAAGCCTGCTAATTTGAAAAAGAGGTGTTGTCAACACATTAAAAGAGCATTTTTTTGCCAAATTTTGCGGTGCGCTTTGCGCATGGCATAGCTGGACCCATCTTTGCAAAAATCTTGGATATCCCCCTCACTATGTGAACGTACATTGAAGGGGCAAGCTTGAGCCATCGATTGACATTGTTTGAATAAGATGAAAAATAAAACCAATCCAGTTCTTAGCCTGCCTACATGCATGTATATTCAAATCCGGTCCTAATGGCCGGGGTCTGAATAGAGATAACACACCAACTAATACAATCTAATCACCTAGTAAAAGAGACAAGAATGTCCTACCACTCTGAGATGTGTGTAAGAATTAAGAAACAAGCTAATCAAGATTGTCTTACAATCTTATTTTTTTAATGAGAGTACAAATGTAAAGCGATATCTTAGATCAAACTGCTATTAAGTTCTTTAGCAATTATGCTTTACACAGCTCCTCTCTCTTATCTACATGTAGCTGTTAGAAACTCAATCTGAGTTTGTCCAGTTTACACAGCCAAGAATTCTCATGGCTGATCTGGGACTGTTGCCCAATATTACTGGATTAGGCCTGATATCAGTACCAGTACAGCACTGACAGCCGTCATTGTTGAATCATGAGTCGGTCTGGCCTGATCCAGTGTAGATGCTTATCATGCCTGTACGGTGGCAGACTCCGTGATTGTATCAGGACTAATAACACTAACTCAGATTGACCCAGTTGTGACTGTATACAACACCCTCGAACTTAATTTTGTGTTATTTATTTGCAATTTATTATAGTACACGTACATGTAATTTATTTCTCTCCCTTCTCTGTCTCTCTCTTTTTCCCTCCCCCTCTCTCTCTCTTTCCCTCCAGACAGAAGTAGAACATGGCTACCTACAGAAACGGGCCAAAAATTACGTGTATATCCTCTTCTCTATTATTTTTAATGCTAGAACACTCAATTATTTGCTTTAAATTTTGGACAGACAGGTCCTCCTTCACATGGCGAACACTTTAGGATGAGCAATAGCTAAAGGCTCAGGAAAGTAAGACCAATTATTGCTAAAGTAATACTGTATGGGAGTATTTAAATTATGTGTGTGTACATTTGTGTATCTTCTGTTCAGAATCTCTGTATTTTCTCCAGTTCCAAAAAGACCCTTGCACCATTGACATACATGTAAGCTTTGAAGAGATTTGAGTCCAACTTTTTCTTGAAGCGGAACGGAAAGCACGGGAGAACCTCTTGCAAATGTACTTCACTGATAATAGCCAATTAGTACTTACAGACAAAATAGCTTAATTATTGCCCTCTCTCCTTCCCCCTCTCTTTTCTCTCTCCAGTGGCGTCTTTATGTTACGTACCAGTAATTGGTTGACAGTTATCTCATTGACAAGTCAGATGGTGTACTCTGAAGCCTTTCGTCTACAAGTCATTAAACCTACTAATAACTGCTGGATGTGGCAACACAGGAATCTAACCCCACCCTTATGCTGAGCTAGTTCAAAAGAAGCGAAAAGGGAAGTGTTTGTTATTGAAGACATTTCAACAAGTACAATACTTACAATGTATTTGAAGTTTTGAATTGTATATATGACATGCACTGTACATGCATCCTGATTCTAAATGACATCTACGTGCATGTACATGTACATGTATGTATGTTGACATCAGGCAGGCTGCAGTTATTCTTTTTGATTATTTTTGTACATGTACATGAGTACATTGTGTAATACTTATTGTCTGTATTCATGCACAGTAAATTTGATGGTGTTACATTACACTGCAAGATGTTAAATTTTGGGGTTTTAGATTCAGAATAAGTGTTGCTATAATTTGAATAGATGTTGTACAGTTTTTAATGTGGGTTAACTCTTGAAATAAAGTGTCACAACTTTTTGAACTAGCTCCTACACTTCATAGCATGTTGCTCATCATTCTGTAGGGTGTATACATCAATTGATGGCCAAAATAAAAAAAACTCCCCACGGGGATTTGAACCAATGACTATTACATTGATGGGCAATTCATTCTAGTAACATACTACTTGAGAAGACCTACATTCTATGTGGGTGATATGTTTATATAAAGCTGTAACTAGTGATTGGTGATATATTAATTCTTTATCGATATAAACGATATTTTATGGAATCGATTTGAATCATTATCAAAATTTTTATGCAATTTTCATTGATTTATTGACCACGCCCATTTATTAAGGTTAAATAATTAATTTTAATAAGTAATTGCACTGTTGAACTGCAAGAAAGAAGCAACTGACCAGTTGCTAGCTCAGCCTACCCCAATCAGAAGAGAACCAAGCTCAAGAGCATGAAAATGATCTTCCCTCATGACAAGTACAGTTATATCTGTGCCATAATCATTAGCCACACCCTTGACACACCCCCAAAATGAAGGTGTGGTTATCGTATAGTTAATAAGCGATATTTCCTTTAAAAGTCCAATATCGATCGTTATCGAAAATTAAGGAAATTGGCCATATCGCCCATCACTAGCTGTAACATTATTATTGATATAAGCTTATTTTTATAATTATTACTGTTATTTAGTAACCT